TCCTTCATTAACCTGTGTGTTAAACCTCATAATGGCAGGAAGGATTTTTAGCAAGGTGAGGGAGAGGTTTAAATAAACCAAGATGATAATAGACACGCTGCTCCTTCTCTTAAACCCATTATCCTTTTTAACAAGTGGTACTTTAGTTGTACTGTTGTAGGCTCCATCCTGACTTGGTTGAAGTTCCACATGCTATTAAATGGGGGGAGCATGATTGAAGGCTTGCACACAATCCTGAGGCCTCAAATTGCCCTTCTCTAATTTTTAAAATGTGCAGAAAACTGTTCCACTCTAATGAAAAAGAAAACATTGACGCATATTGTTTGGGAGGAACAAAGAGAAAGTAAACTACAGGGAGGAGCTGCAGGAAATGTGCTGCTCATTAAATGTTCAGCTGTGGCAAAAATAGCAACTTTTTGAAACTAAAGGAGGGTTTTTTGCTGCAAAGATGATCATCCATATGGAGAAAAATATTCTTTCCAGGCCTTGTGGTTTCTACAAAGGAGTAGAAGATGGATATGACCAGGAATTATTGTCCTGTTCACGGGAATGTATTCCTAACCAAGATTACACAAAAATTGTGAAATGTATATTATGATGTCACAACACCTCTGACTTTTCATATTAGTGTTACAACTTTGCATACAAGTAAAGATGGCAGAATTTGCATCAAAACATTATGATCCATATTTCACTGGTTGCCATGCTCTTTCCTGCAGACCCGTATAGTCCTGATCCAAGTAAATTCTATCTGTCTGCTGTGATATTTGCACACAGTAAATCTGCCTGTCTGCCTAACATTATAATGTCATTCTGTTCATTCTATGACTAAATGCCTGAAGATTCCCTCAAAGAGACGAAGAGATTAAGAAAAGTGAATTTTTAGATACTTAGGAAACATTTTCCATCCCTTGAAAAGTTATTTCTTGGCCTGAAACATCAGAGCAATTGGGTACAAACTTGCCAGAATTCCTACAATTTCAATTTCAAATACAGAATTATGAATTGAGCTAGTGGCAAAATGTAATGATGGGCTTCAATAATAGTGCCTATACACAAGTTCCCAGTTCAATTCTTGACTGTTGCCACCTATAAAAATATTCTATTCTGCTTAAGATTTTAGAGCAATCATTTGCTAGAAGGCTCTCTTCCACTCTATTTTTCCAGAACACCAGCCAAGTTTACCCTTATGTTTTTTTCCTGGACTGATAGGCTATAAACAGCCATCATTTTTATTTACTAAGAAAGCCCATAGGTTTCTACTGAGTTAGAACTCATGTAGAAAAAAACATATAGAAGATGGTGCTATTTGTGGCAACATACCAGCTGCTTCTTCAATCATCTGGTTTTAATTGACCATTTTAAAAAGAAGAAAAAGTGGCCTGCTTGCCATGTTTGAGATAAATTCCAAATGCCATCAGCCTCAGCCATCATGCCCAGTGGTCAGGGATTGTGGAACTCCTACCTTTAAAGTATAAGGAAAGGATGTAGTTGTAGACTGGAGACAAAATCTGGACCAGTGGCAGTCTTTCATCTATAGCTCTTCTGCAGGCTAAGCATAAAACTCATATAAACAAGCAGGTTAGAAAGGAGCCAAATGATAAAAGACACTCCTGCTAAATTACAGCTCCCTACAACCCTAAGCCAGCAGGTCAATGGTGAAGGATGTCATAACGTCCAAAGGACCAGATGTTTCTTATCCTTAACAGTTTTCAGGATCAGCCTTTTACAATTGTAAAGTTGAGTGATATACTGTGGTGATTCAGTTAATAGTGAAATAGGATTTAAATATGTTGCTGTTATGGAACTTTGGAACTGCTGGGAAAAAATGCAGTTGTCATCATGTCGGCTGTGGAAGACTTGCATGTGAGTGACTATTTGCCACAACTGCACCTGGAAAACTGACAACAGCTAGTAAACTCATCCAGTTCACCTCTTCATATACCAGAGTGTATTAACCCTTGGAGTTAAGCCGGGTCAAGAGCAGACACTGCAAGGACTACTGTATGCTACTTCATTGTAGGGTTGCTTGATTATTTGTTTGTCTGATATTAATCCCAGCTTTATCTGGGTGTTGGCTGCTGAAGAGGACGTGTTCTGGTCTTTTTGTTTTGTTTTTAGCTTTTTTTGTCTCTTGAATGATGTGTAAATATGGCTTAGTTTTATGTGCTTGTTGATAGATGATTTGTCTGAATACCAAACTTCTAGGCATTCCCTAGTGTGTGTTTGTGTGTGTGTGTGTGTGTGTGTGTGTTGGTCTAGGATACTTACAGTTTCCCAGACTAATTTAGGCACAGTCGAGAAAACCACACCCCCATCAACACTGGCTAAGCAAGCTACTGTATACTGTATAAACAGAGAGCAAATCCCACACTCGCCCTGATGGTACTGCTTAGTTGGTTAATGAAACATTAACAATCAAACAACCAAGATTCCATAATACATACTTTATTTATATGTATTGCCAAATGAATATTGTAGATAAGTCATATTCAATACTCAGTCCCTCAAAAGTTTTTAAAATAAAGTGAACTAAGGTACTGATCCCTTGGTTAGCCCAAGCATTCCAGTAAAGCATCTATTTTCAAATTTGGGTTATTCTATAATTTCTCATGTGATTCAGAAATGAAATGTAACCTTTTACAAATAACCAAATATGCCTGGTAGCTTTTAGAGTTAGTATACCTGGGCCATAAACTTGTCAAGGTTTCAGAAGTGTTACACATTCATTCTCCCAAAAGGCCCAAGAAGGGGAATAATCATAAAAAAACTTGTTCAAAAAATAAAATTTTAAAATTAAGGCTCAATGATATAGTTGAAAATCTAGCATGGGCATCATCATGTAATAAACTCAGTTTGGCCAAGGATATTCAAAGGGGTTTATCCTGCAATAACGTTTTTCTCATTAACTTATCTCTTGTATAGATATCTAATAGGAATTAATATTGTAAATCCCTCTTAGAATATACATTAATCTTTTGATTTTACCAAAATATTTAATGGGAAGTTCAACCATTGAACAATTTATACTGCTGAATAAATAATTGAAATCTACTGTCCACTGAAATTGCATTTATATATTTAGACATATTTAATTCCCAGCCCTTTGTTCAGGTATAGTCCACAGCTTCAAGATAAAATGTGACTCTGCACTAGGAACAGGTAGAACATTTCCAAGTTAAATAATATTTCATTCTTTTTTATGGCTAGATCTAAGAAAACTTGAAATACCATATAGTTTGTAATTGTGGTATTTAAAATACACAATATGCATTTTATGTGGGGGAACAGATTGCATTAGGTATTAGCTGAAGCTGTTTTACTGTTGATCTTCCCAAAGGTCATTTATAGATGAGGTACAGAGTTTATTTATTTTTGAATAAAGATATCTGGGTGCCCTTTTCAAATAAATGTTAAATGCTGTTGCCAATTTGGATTGCACTATCTTTAAGAGAGTAAAGCGTAATATTTAAAGCATGAGATTGAAGGAAAAAGAAAACAAAATATGATTCTTCATGAATGGCCACACTACTTAGTTTATCCATACGAACAGGGCTTTTTTTCTCATAGAACGCCCAGAACGGAGTTCCGGCACCTTTTTGGGATGGAACCTTGTAGGGTAGGCAAGGCGGGTTGTATGATGTGTGTGAGTTCCGGCACCTTTTTTTTTTTTAGAAAAAAAGCACTGCATACAAAAGATTTAATGTAACTGTCTCATATGTTGCATTTTGTTTTCCTGGTGTGCTCCTTTCTGTTCCTTGCATTCACTTACACCAAATCTTATGCCCAGATACCTACCAGCCTAGAAAACTATTTTGCCATAATAAATATTTGGAGTTAGTTACTCAAAATTTTCCTCAAGGAAAAAAATCAGCCCAGCTGTCTTTTGAAGAAAAAACAAACACCTTTGAGTCTTCTAGTTAGTGTTATTCCAGTTTCATTGTTGGACTAAATTTTCCCTGCTAGGTAAACAATGAAACCTTGCCTCACCCCACCTCTCAACCCCTTCAACTCTAGTATGCCATTCCTGAGCCCCCACACCACTGCCCCATGGCCCTAATCTATGAAGTGCTGGCTGCTACTAGAAAAAGCATCTGGCTGAAAACTATGGAATTATATTAGATTTCCAGTTTGGGGCATTTTGATGGCCAAGCAGTTTTTCTTTGCTCTGACAGCTTAGATTGTTGAAGAATAAACAATCACGGGTACTGCAAACACAGGGGGGAGAGCAAATAATTTTTCCCCTCCCTCCCCCCCCCTCTCTCTCTCTCTCTCTCACACACACACACACACACTTTTTTTGTACAGCGTGGGATTTGTGAGGGTTTTTTCTAACTCTAAAAGCAAGTATTACTCAAGAGGCAGGGCACAGTCTCAGAGGTGATTTTTGGGTCCTCTTCCATTGGTTAGCTGGAGGGAGCATCAATTACCTCAGGCTATTCCCTGTCTATTCTCAAGAGTTCCACTGTCCACTAGAGCCAAGATCCAAATCACCATCAAAATGCTTTGGAGAGAGACCGAGGGGTCAAAACGTATTGTGTGGAAGATCTTTTGGTTGGTTCTCAGGCACATCCTCATTTTCAGTCAAATTGTGGCCAAGTGATGTACTCTTGAAACTCAAAGTATGGTTCCCCAACAAAATTTGGTAGCCAATATAATGTGGTACATAGAGAGGAAAGGTAAATATTTAGAGGTGGCACCCATTTTCCTTGAGATACGTGTGTAAAAGTGATTTGGCCTTGCCTGCTTTTTGGTCTACCCACTTCAGGACTAACTATTAGCTCACAAAGGCAGGTCCAAATATAGTCTCTTTCCCCCTCCAAAAATGAGCCTTTTCTTAATTGATCTTTTTTTTTAATGTTGATGCCATTCAACATTGCATCCCTGCCTGCTGCAAAGCAGAAGATTCTGAAATGATGAAGATTGGACTCCAAGTAACCAAAAGACAATCTCAGACACTTAGTTAGCTTGCAAAAAATGTATTGTTATTCTTAGTAGTAGTATTTTATAACTTTAATCCTTTCATTTACAGTATTGTACAGCTGGTTTAAAATATAAAAATAATCTGTCCCTCTGAAAGATAACTACTCCTTTAGCTCTTCTTCCTGCTTACTTACACACCATGGCAGATGTCACCTTAAACATCTGTCACCCACGCCTCCCACCAATTATTGGTATATTCAAAACCAGAAGGCAAACGTGAAAGTGTCTCCTAAGCAGTGAGTTTCTTATTTAATATTAATAAGTAAGAACAATGAAAATAAATGATATTCATTAATAATATTATCATGAGATATGTCAGAGAAATTCATATGTGAGGCGCCCAGACCCTTTTCCCCATTGCTACCCTGCAAGGGTGCTGTTGGTCTTGATCTCCCTCACCCTTACTGGCCTTTCTTATAAGCAGTTTTGATGATGGCATTCTTAAAAAGAGTCACTAGAGGAGTGTGACTGTGCTCTGAGGTCATGAAGCCGCCATAGCGCTTCTTCTTGGACAGGGCTGGGGTGTTCCACCGAAAATGGTGCATCTTGTAGGCAGCATTATTATTTTTTATTTTTCTCAGCTGCTTTTCTTTGTCCACCTTAGTGGTTTCACTGCTCTGCTTTTCCTCTGGTGAGTCAAGTTCGGGGTATTCCATCTCCCAGGAAAGGTCTCTTCTGAATTCCTGAGGATAACTCTCCGACGATTCCTCTTCCACCCCATTCGGATTGACTTTGATGGGTCGCCTTTTCCTGCCCACTGGCTTCCCCCATCGGAAGTGCTCCATTGCATAGGACCTCTTGCCTTCTTGCTTTTCTCGGGACTCTTGGTGGCTTCCTCCTTCCCAGCTGTCTTGGGTTTCTGAAGAGGTCGAGAAGAGATCTGCACCGGAGTCACTGGAAAGGTCCTTTCTTTTATTGCCTAAGTTGCCGCCATTGCTGATATTCTTCCCAAATTTGTTCCAGTGGATGTACTTCTGAATATTTTCAGAGAGAGGCTGCATGTGACCATTTCCTGGATATACTGGAGACTCATTTGAGACGCCCATTCTGCAAGCCCTGAGGCACTCCTGCAATGGAAACAGGGGAGGACAGGCAGGGAGATACTGATTTCAAAACAACTGTACAAGTTTCAATTCAGCCTAGAGCTCATTTGCCTTTCTCGTTTTCTCATGATTACTGCCTCAGCAATGAGAGTCAGACTCGCCAGCTTTTTGCAAGGTGTTTTTTTAATTTGCAGGCAAGTTTTTCTAAAGCTGAACTGTTGCTATTTAAATTTAATTCAATCATATTTAGAATCTTATTAGCGCATGGATTATGTATTCCTTTAAAGTAGGAAGCAACTTGGGAGAAGGCTTTGATCTAAGAATAGTTGGTACCTCAAAAAGTTGGCTGAATCTCACCTAGCCAGTCAAACCACTCCTGATGTATCTGCTTTTGCATCCTCCCACTGAAAGAATTTCCTACATGTTTCACTTGGACAGGAACAAGCAAAAACTGCTTTTCTCGGTGATGATAAGGTGGCAAAAAAAAAATAAGGAACATTTTTTTGGTTTCAATTTCCCACTTACGAATTTTCATCCATTGTTGGAAATTGAATCCTAGACTAGGTGAGATAAATGATTTGAGATCATAAACGAAGTTGGATAGCAAGACAAAATTACTCCTGTCAATGCTTCACATATTCATTGGATGTACATCCTGCCTTTCCTTCTTCAAGAACATTCGGAATGAGATCCTTTTCTCTTCCGTGAACATCCTGGGCTTCCAGACATCCCTTTTAGAAGCCAGACTTACCAGCAATTTCCACATTACTGAAGCCCTCCCACCTCTAATCCATTATAAATGCCTCATGCCCCCACTATTTTCTCCAGCAAGGAATAGTTATTTCGATATTTCAAATCTACAAAATTACTGGCTTTGCTACTACATCAAGAAGTTCAGTCTTTCTATAACCCAGGTCAGAGTTCTGTTTTCTACTGGAAGTTATTCTCATCACATATCTCCTTTTTCCATGCTCAGTGTTTAACTATTTCATTTCCATGTGAAACTAAGTCAGATGCCGTTTCAGCAATCAGTTTCCAATGTCCTGGTGTTTGTGTGTGTATTGTTTGGCACTGCCTACCACCACATGCTGCCCAGGAGCTGCCATTTGGAAAGATTTTGCCACCATTCTGCTAACATTTGGAATGCCCCTTGAGGTTTTCAGGCTGAACATGAGGGTTCCCTTCCCTTCCCAGCATTTCTACCAGTCTCTCTTGTTTGTTTGTTTGTTTGTTTGTTTGTTTGTTTGTTTGTTTGTTTGTTTGTTTGTTTGTTTGTTTGTTTGTTTGTTTATTTATTTATTTATTTATTTATTTGCAAACCACCAAATATACACAATGATGTCGTGGAAGAGCAATTTTTTTTTTTTAGTAGTAGATGAGGGACTTCCAACTGATTTGTTTAGGTTCAGGAGGCAGGGTTCAGTTATCAGCAACCAAAAATTATTGACATTCATTGGTTGACTTCTCCATGAGCTCTAGAAGACATGCCAAGATATGGCTCTGCTGTGCATACTGACATAGAACTGAAAAAAAGTGATTATTTCAGAGTTTTTTTGGCTTTAATTTTAAAATGCATTATAAAAGCTTAAGAAATGGAAAGACTGGTGGTCTGGAAAAAAAAGATCAAAGATACTACAAAAGGGAAATTAAGTTTCCTTTCAGTGGGTAACTCAGCTTAGCTTGCTCCTGGTACACTCTCCTTCCATAGTCCCTTACATCCATGGGTTTCCTTCTATAGCTGGATTATACCATCTGAGCCCATGGACTACATTCCCCTCTACAAAGATGATTCAAAGGCAATTCATTGATTTCTGGAAGAATGGGGTAAAACAGATGGATTAAACTTCAGCACAGCTTACCATTTTGCCTCAAATGAAAAAAGCAAATGAAACAAAAACAAGAGATGGAAAATGTATTCCCTCTCCTCTAATGAAATATCACATCACTTTAAGACCCCCATGGGGGGGGGAGGAAGAGAGAGAAAGAGAGGGGGGGAGAGAGGAGAAATAAATAGACGGAGGAGGAGGAGGAGGAGGAGGAGGATAGATGATAGATGGTGATAGATGATAGGCAGATAGACAGACTGACATTTAATGTGGTCTCTGACTGCAAAAAGCTTGCTTGCGCTGCTAAGGATCTTTTCAAACAAATACACTACATCATCATATTTCCTAATTTTACCACATTTTTAGAGATGGAATGAGTGAAGACAAAAGGAAATGCTAAGGAAATGTACTAAGGTTGGGATCAAGAGTAGATACTCTCAAGATGCCAGCCATAGTTGCTGACAAAATATCAGGAGATTTATTGTCTCAACCACAGCTACTAAGCTCTGAAGCTCAACATTGCACTATAGATAGTGGCTGTGAAAGCCTAGACCAGTCTTTAGTTAATGCATGATTTAAAAAATATTATTTGATTTTAATTATGTAATGTGGCCACAATCAGTTGCCATTGGGCTTTTTTTTAAAAATTAGCATACATACAAACATACATAAAATTTACTGTAATTAAATTATGAATTCTCCCAAAGTATATAATAGTTCCCTCCTTTTGTCACATTAAGCATTCCAAGTTGCTTCTGGAGAATTTTTTGAGGACTATATCCCACCCTTTGGAGGGACTACATGTAAGCTTGGGACTCTGGTTGCGGACTTTTGTTATAAATACTCTGATTTAGGTCATTCGGGACTTTAGAAGGTCCTGTGAAATAGACACAGGTAGGCTTCTTATGATCAAAAAGTTAATCACAGATTATATACAATGCCTTCATCAATATGAATAATTTCTATCAATAAAGGAAAATATTTGTAGCTCAGGTTTGAAATGAGGGGTCCTTGGTTCTCTCTGAACTTGGTTATTTTCTTGCAGACATCATCAGTTGTTTTCAAGACAACAGCCAAGCTCAGAGAGCATCAAGGACAATAATCTCTATTTAATCCCCATATAAGAAAGTGACTATCACCCATAATGTTGGGTAACGAATTCCATACAAACATTATAAGGCATTTCCTTGAGTTTACCTGAACTTAATTCACAACCATTTCATTGGATGGTCTAAGTTCTGTGCCTTCTCTCCCAAATACAGCCATCTAAGAAAAAGATGGACCTAGGTAAACCGTCCACTTACCATCATCTTCACTTCCGTGTCCATGTCCCAACACCAACTGTTGTCCCAACAGAGGCTATGCACTCCTGCCACTGAATGGATGAGCAGAAGTCCCATGATGGCCCAAAGACTTCTCCACTGGGAGTTCAGCATCTTCAGAGGAAGAAGACTGTTCCTGCTGAGATAAAAATATTGGCCACCAAAGAAAGCAAAGCAATATAGATTATAGAGAGCCAGTTTGATGTAGCAGTTATAGCATCAGGCTAGAAACTGTGAGACTGTGAATCCTCATCCCACCTTAGACACAAATCCAGTTGGGGTGACCTTGGATCAGTCACTTTCTCTCAGCCCTAGGAAGGAAGCAATGCCAAGCCACTTCTGAAAAGCCTTGCCAATGAAAGTGCAGGGACCTGTCCAGGCAGTCTGGAAGAATCAGACACAATTGAATGGAAGGAAAACAAAATATGGGTTACAAATAGCATGAAATGATGGGGTGCATGAGCTGTCAAAGGTTTTGGTCCAGATTTATCCTAAGCTCACTACCTAGTCTTGGTTTACTTCATTTCTTCTATCTGCATTACTGATGAATAATACTAAATTGCCATCAAACATATTTTTCCAACGATTCTAGGAGTAAGTATCTCTTCAGAAATCTCTCCCAAATTTTAACTCCCACCTAGAGTAGCAAAATCCTTTGGCACATTTTTTGGTACCTGCCTATTTATTTTAAGTAAGAATAGGAGCTTGCAGGCTGCAAAACTAACATCCAGTCTCAACCATAATGCATTCCCATTAATGTCTTTGGACTCACATAGACCTGGGGACATTCTTGGGAAAAGAAAATAAACCGTTCAGAATCAACAGCCCTGTTCTTTGTTTAAATATTGTAAAAGAGTTAACCATATCCACCATGACATCATTTTTGTAACAATGTCTATCACCTGCTATCGAAATTCCAGATTTGCTTACTGTATTTGTCCTAAAAGGCAGAGGACCACTGCTTTAAATGCTAGACAATTTGAGCATTAGATGTTGGCACCTGCAGAGATATGCATATTCCCTTTTCTCTAACATATTTTCCCACTAATTTGCTTAACTTCTCTCACACAGGCTATATATGGCAAACCCTAATAAAGTTGATTTGCTTTTGCCTTATCCTGTTGTACAAATTTAGCCACCATATTTGGAAACCACTGAAAATATGGGAACACAGCCTATTGTGATTTGTTCAATACGCCATTGTTAATATAAACCATTCCTTAAAGTAATTATGTGTTAAACTAGCCAGAGGTGGTGGTGCTAATGGCTTTCCTAGATTATTCTTTATGTATTTGCCATGAATAGAGGTGCAACCTTCATGACAAAAAAGACCACTGAATATGTTATTTTATCCAAAAACCCTGAGTCCCAATGGCTGAAATTAACTATTACTATGGTTTATGATGTTATAACTATGTCCAGTACCCAAACCCGCAGTAAACCATGCTTAGTTACAGCTGCTAATCCCACAGAAATACAGGAATGAAATGTATTACAAAACTAAAAAGGAGTGAAGCTAAACTTCTTTAGTGGTAGGCTAAGACGTTCATTGGATTATTTATACTATTCTACCTCCACCCTCTATGCACAAATAAGCCTATTTTCTATGCACATTTGAAACATCAAAATTATTATAAATCTCTTCCAGATGTTGGGCAATACTGTGTCATTATTCTTAGCAGGTATTTTCAAGAATGTTCCTATAAATAAACACATATGTTGCAGGGGAAGAAATGGTTTTGGTTTTTTCCCCTCTCTCATTTCAAAATTTACATTTCAACTTTCCCCCTCTGTTATTTCAAGGTCTGCTGAAACTTTCATGGATCCATGTGGCTCCGAACAGAAAATGACTAGGCTGCTGTCCAGGGATGTCTATCATTCTACTGCCAAGTTAGTTTGCTAGTCCATCTAGAAGATTAATATTGCAATACCAGCATGCCAGTTAAAAGATGAGATAAACCTAAGCATGAAGGACCAGAGGTTTAGTCTTCCGAGTTTTCAGACTTGTGCTGAAGCCCATCCTCAGGGAATTTGTCTCTCACTGGAAAATGTTCTCACCAGAATGTGTTTTCACCAGAACACATTCTAGTGAAAGAGATGTTCCCTGAGGATGGACTCCAGCATGAGTTTGAAAGCTTGGAAGACTAACCCTCTGGTCCCGATGACCAACTCAGATTGGATCCTGCAACATTATCCTGGGACACATATATTCACCTTCATTCATGAGACCTAAGCATCTTGGCAGTTGAAGATACCAACTGGAGACTTTATGATTAAAAAAATGAATAAGAACACAAAAAGCAGAAAATAAGAAGGGAGTAAAAACAACTGAAATGTGCATAGAAGGTTATAGTTGCTTCAACAAGATGGGTGGCATATAAATTTAATAAAATATTTTTAAAGTGGAGAGTTTGCCAAGTATTCCACACAGTCAGACTTAGTACATTCCTCTTCCATGATGAAACTGCAATAGAACAAGAGAAAAGGCCACAGATGGGGGACCAAGACTGCTGTGAAGCGAAGAAGGTTCATTGGATCCAAGGACATGATTCCTCAAGGATGTTTTTAGTACAAGTCACGTTAAAATGAATAGGTCCTATATTGGACTTCAATAGCCTCCTTAGGCAGTTCTCATTGATTTCTGTGAGACTTGTACAGAAAAATTCTGCAGGAGATTGGATCCATGGTATTTAGGAGAAGAATGGTTAGGAAACACCAAATTTCAAGTGAAACCTGCTACAGATTGAATTTCCCTCTTCCTCCCATACTACTACCATAATGTTACCACATTCAGGCTCTTACATGCAAGGATCTCATACAGTACATCTCCTCCACGTAATAACAAAATTGGTTTTTTTATTTCCTAAATAATGGAACTGCTTTTGATTTGCATAACAGCTCCATGGAAGAATTACTCATCATCAGTGTCAAAAATGTGCATTCTCTTCTTTCAGTGAATTAGATCCCCTTTAAGATATCTTACATTCTCATATTTTCCTCCACATGTGTTTTAGAGGATAACTATTTCCTCATAGAAAAATAAAACTGTTATTTCTCCTAGTTGCAAAAAGCAAGCTTTTTTTAAAAAAAATTGTTAGATTAAAAAGTTAATAGACTAAAATAGTTTTAGTCTATTAAAAACTAATTCTATTTTAGAAGAACTGTCATCCCATACATTCTTGAATATAGATTTGAAGCTAGAAGGATGGATGTGTAAGGCAAAGCTCTAATAAAAAGACACAAATGGATTTTATTCTTGAGGAGTTATATAACCACAAAGTTCTATTTCTCAGAAGGCTTTAATTGCTGCCCTATTTAATTCTAACTATTCAGCCCACTTGGGATATTGCATTCATAACTGTCTATGAAGGCAGAACTCCTGAACAATTAAACAGAGAAGTGATGCTGTCTGCAAAAACAGCAAGCAAAACTATGCATGTGAAATAAGCTCTTACCTACCACTTATTCGGTTGGCTGGGAAAGGTGCAAATAAAAGTGGATCAGATCCCTTGTAAAAGTTATCTGCAACATGACAGAAACTTAGAAAGGGGACATGCCATGGACAGCGACTTGCTTCATTGCCTTTAAAGCTACCTCCTGCCGTGCCCTGGTCTGAGTTTTTCCTTTCTTGATGTTTATCAGCGGGGATCTGCGCTGCAGAACTTTAAAGGCAATGCTTCTTCACCTACACTTGGAAGAAAATGAATAAAGCAAGCCTTGCCATCCTTTCAGACAGAAACTTACGGGACCAGTATCTGAAGAATTAAAGCGCAGCCAAGGCAAGAGCATTACTTACCTGTTGCTGCAATGAGAGTTCTCCCTCTGCTCTCCCTCTCTTCCTCTCTCAGTCTCTCTCTCTCCCTTTCTTCCTCTTAACATCTGCAAGGTTTCAGCTGCAACCCCAGCCCCTTTTTATACCACACAAGCTTGTCTTCAGTGCTAGAGCAACCTTCCGGACAGACCTTTTGAAGCAACAATAAAAGGGGAGGTGTCCAGGAAAGCTCCAGGTGTACAAGAATGGGGGAGATTAGCAGGCATCCACCAAGACGACGTAAGATACGTGGGGAAAGGCTCATGAAAGGCAGCTGGAGGTGGAGAGAGGATTAGCACCTCAATGTGAAGAGGACTGCCAGATGAGGCAGAGGAAAACTTCCCCCCATTTTTAGCCCCTTAAATTGGTTCTGCAGATCAGGAGTAGACAGGTGATTATTATTTTTTAATTAGAAACCAGACACCCTTTAATAATAATGGCATATTGGTTCATGGAGGTTTAGCACACTATTGCATGCATATTGTACACATCTGTTCAATACTACCTCTCCTTTTTTTTCTCCCTTTCCAAATTGCATTTTGTAAAGTTCCTTTGTTCGGCTTGGCAAGACAAAAGAGCCTCAACTGGTGGTCCATATGGTAACGTTTGTGTATCACTGTGGTCAGATAGATTTCAGCTGACGTGACAGTAGGATGCCATGCCTCTCAAGCTACGGTCACCCTTTACTAAGTCCAGCATTTTAAGTAAACCCCTCTAAAATTCCTTTAAAAATTTTAAAGGGTGCCTCCATCCCCTGAATTATAACTGCAATCAGCTCTAAAGAGCTTTACAGAGTTCCCTTCCTGTTTCTTCCAAGGCTTTCCAACTGTTACTTTAGATTTCTTCAGTAATCTAAAAGCATATTTCACCAAATGCTATATTTGAACCAAACTGGAGGGTCTTTGGTCTTAGAAAGACACCTATAGAATTTCAAGGAATATGAAATAATTTTTACAAGTGTAGTATATCCTGGATTTTTCACATGAGCTAAATGGTCACTCAAAGCAAGATTGGGGAAACAAATTCAAAAATTCTTGCTTAAACTGAAATATTTGAAGAATGACAAGGGACAACCCACCATACTCACTAATATTTGTGAAATGTTTTAATATATCCATACTGGATAAGGTAAATTATTTAGAGTAATTTAATTTTTAAAAACCTATGAAAAAGAAAACATCTATCTAATGCTTTGAATTGACCAAAAATAAATACTGGGATAATAATAATAATAATAATAATAATAATAATAATAATAATAATAATAATAATAATAATAATAATAATAATAATAATAATAATAATAATAATAATAATATACCACCAAACTGGCTTACAAGAAAGACCAAATAAAAAACAGAAAAGAGACATGGCAAGGCAAAGTGTTATATGGTCAATACATAAAATAAGGCAAAGCAAATAACAGCAAGCCTTGGCAATGGCTAAGAGTAGGAAAATTGAAGAAAAGGGTCAAGGGGCTAATTCTGGCTACACAAGTTGAATTCTTTAGAACAGGAGTGTCAAACTGCCGGCCCACAGGCCGGATGCATCACGAGGAAACCGCTCCCACCCCATTGCCGGCAATGGGAAGAAAGCTCCAATACGTTGCGAGTTTGACATGTCTGCTTTAGAACAAATGCACACAAAGTCAGAATTGAGGAGACAACAACAGACAGCAAATGCTGCCTCTGCAAAAAAGCTGAAGAAACAGTGGACCACCTAGGCATCTGCTGCAAGAAGATTACACAGACTGATTACAAGAAAGATCATGACAAAGTAGCAACAATGATGCATTGGAAGATCTGCAAGGAATACCATTTGCCTGAAAGCAAGAATTGGTGGGACCATAAAATAGACAAAGTAATAGAAAACGATCAAGCTAACGTGCTCTGGGATTTCGGAATTCAAACAGACAAGCACCTTTGCACAACCCCTATTTTAACTATTGTTGATAAAAAAGACAAAAAAGTCTGGATAGTGGACATTGCACTACCAGGAGACAGCAGAATATAAGAGAAAGAACTGGAGAAAATCACAAAAAACAAAGACCTGCAAATAGAAATAAAATTACTATAACAAGAGAAAACAAAGGTATTACCAATAGTGATTGGCACCTTAGATTCAATCCCAAAACATTTGGAGCACCTCTTGAACACCATTGGCATTGACAAAATCAGTATCAGTCAACTGTAAATGTCAGCTTTACTTGCAACATCTTATATCTTGTGACAATACCTTTAACACCATCAAAAAAACAACACCTGCCTATTCCAGGTCCTTGGAAAGGATTCGATCAGTGGATAAAAATGCCAATTCCAGTCTAAACATCTGGCTGACTGTGCAGCCAATCACAATAATGTTAGGCTTACAATCTGGTTCTGATACTAATGGACTAAGTGTGTAATCATAGGCTTGCCACACAACCCAGACATTTGGCTTTCTATTGTGAATCATATCCTTTCTATTTTATGTCAAGTAGCAAAACACTAGCAAAAGCTAAGGGTATTTTCTGTTTTCATTTTAGCAATAGAATCATGTACTCAACTGTTCTTTATTTAAAGCAGACTTAATTTTAAATTGCTGGCCAGCATTGCTAAACAATGACACAAAGCAAACATTGGGGGAAGTGTATCCCTCTATCATTCTTTTATCATTTTTTTTACCTTCCAGAATAGGGATACTGTGTTCCCTACAAAGATGCATTTAGTGACAAAACAGAGGATGCCAGCTGCTCTGATTAAATAGAAATGAGAAGAGACTCCAGAATGAGAGGATCATCATAGAACAAAAGAAGATTTAAGAACTGCCATTTTTAGAGAGGTGAATTAAATAGGTTGTTGAAGGAACAGGGAAAGAAAAAGGTCTGCTGAGTCTGTACAACCCACTAGATTTAGGCTAGAGTAAGGAAACCTAAACCTAGGTTTTGGAAACCTAAAGTACACTGGGGGAGAAAAATATGAGATGGGTCATTCATTAATAGATATCAAAGATTTGTGTACTATGGCCCCACAGGGAAAACTCTGTCAAATAAGCTTCATTGATGGGACATGGGGAGAATATGTTTGGTTGAAACTTAGTGAAACTTAAAAATATTTCATTAATGGAACTAACAGAGAATTTTGATTATGGAGTGATATAATGCAATCAGATATGTATGGGGGGGATCCTTTAAGCAAACATCTAACAGTTCTCTCTAACTTGGTTATTATTATTATCATTCTTTTGCTCTGCTGACTTTGTTTTCAAGCCTGGGGTCTTATTCTGTTCTTTCCTTCTTTGTTTATTTAAAGCAGTAGTAGAAATGAAGCAAGTGCACCAAGAATTTTGACACTTTGGAAAAGCAGAGAATGCTACCCTTTCAAAAGGAAAAAAAAATGGGATTAAGAGAAATATAAACCAAGCCAAATTGTAAATTTCAAAGTCTTTTCCTCTAGTGACATCCAGGTTATAGGGTCCTTGAGCAAATAATTTCTTTCACTATGTGAACTAACTACCTCTTCATGCTTAAGACCTCAGGGTGCACAGGTGACTACTTACCCCATCTTGTTTTTGCAGTTTAAGGGGAGCTTTAATTTAAAGATTGAGAAAATGAGTTATAGAAAAAAAAATCATACCACAGTACAATGTACCAGCCTCTAACACTGTTTACATTTCCCTAAATATCAAAGCAAACCTCTAAGCATTCTTAGGCCATAGATGTGATAGGCAGCTAAAGTCCGGCTCTTTATTTGGAAATGTTCACCCCTGAACAGAAAAGATCAAAAGTAAGCAAGATTAGTAAAGAGCCTCCTGAAGGAGGGGAGATCTGAGAGGCTGTCAGGTGGAATCAACTAGTGCATTGTAATTGTTTATGCCATCCCTCATGGCAGCCATTCTATGAATGGACAATCCCCATGACAGCCCTGGGCTGAGAGTGCCCAAAGCATGTTCTCAGAATTCCAGATGTTCTCATCAGCCTCCAAAAGTTGGAAGTTGAAAGTTGAATCTTTAGATTTTTTTTTTTTAAAAAAAAGATCTGAATGGCATAAATTAGAGAAAAACAAAAGAACAGGATTCAGTCCAGAGCTCTCCAGTCACTCACATTGGCCAGAGGTTAACAGCAGGATGGGGCCAAACCTTAAGTTAATCCCCTCCTATAAAGGATATATAGTTTCTGGAAGTAATATTCACTCATGATCCTCATCTTCCTCAAAAGGAAGGGTGTGTTAAATTTCTCCACAGCAAGCAGGAACTGAAAGGAGGGGTTACTGTACTGAGCAGAAAATGGTTATAAGACTTTGGTTCTGGAGGAGATTTAAATCATAGGCTAATTAAATGTCTTAATTTTTTTTGTTAAAATCTTAAAAGCATAATATGCAAGTTGGCTATTAGCAACCCTTTGTTTTAATGGATTAAAGCAGCCTTCCCCAACCTGATGCCCTCCAGCTAACGTTTTCAGCCAGCATGTGTGAAAGCGGAATGGGACATTTAGGCACTGACCCTTCACTGCTCCCACTTCACCCCCAGCCACCTGCCTCAGCTGATTTAAAGCCAGCTTTCCTCCTCCACTGAACCTCCTCCAGCTATTGTCCACCGCCAATGGTTCCCTGGCCCTCCGCCCCCCCCTCCTTTGTCCCTGACCATTCTCCCAAACACTGTTTGACCTGGGCATTTTGCTGCATGGGACAAATAGCCCCCCCCATCCAATCAGGGTGGTGGTGCTGCAGGGAAAACAGAAGAGTGGCGATGGGCGTGACAATCACAGGGCTGTGGGGGGGCAGCATGTGATGCAAGTATTTTTTTTAAAGCCACATGGCTGCTCCGCAAGTTTTTTTTTTTTAAGGGGGTGCACTTTCAGACCAATTGAGTGGCTCCAGAGCTGTGGGTCTGACAGGTTGTGCAGAGGGGGACAGGGCCCAAGTTATAAAAAGAAGGTGTCAGAAACAGCAAAGCTGCAGTGTGAAAGCATCCCACTGCTTGGGGCCACGCGGCTCTGTGGGAAAAGAAAGCGCATTCTGGAGAGAGAGAAGAATGAAAATTGTGCGTAGGGGGTGTATGTGCTTAAATGAGTTAACCAATGCAACATT